CAAAGGTGCATTATAAGGGCGAATAAAAATATAATGTGTAATTGTATGTTGTATTTAGATAAATGATGTGAATATATCTTGTATTTTTGGGAAGGTTATCTTTTTAATATTATAAAACAAAAACATTAGGGGGTTGAAAAAAGGAGTAACAATTTTTTTCATTGGCTTAAAAGAATGGATATTTTTTTTTTGGAATATTCTAGATTATTCAGCATGCACATATTCAGATGCATAAAATTTATCAACTCTTATTTTTGATGTATTGAAATTTAATCTAATTTACATGCTACGTTTTGCAAATATATATGTTCTCTTATTTGATATTTTTTAATCTGAAATTCTTACACTAGTTATTTATCAAACTTTTAATTTTCCAATTTAACTAAACTTTCACTTTAAAAAAAGTTATATTTTTATAACATGATATATTGTTAGAGCTTATGCATATCAATAGATAGCGTTATTACAATTGTCCTGTGAGACAAACAAAGGGACATAGAGACTAAATGTGTCATTCACTTATGTCAACGATGTTTATACCTTTATTATGTAATAAGCCCATTAAAAAACGACGTCGTTAAAACTGTATCTCGTCAATATGTTTAATTAACAGAAAGACAGTTCTTTATTTTGAATATTAACTGTAATGCGCGTTAAAAGTAGTGTTTAATTATTTCTTTTTATTACTTTTTAATATGTATTGCTCTTTTCTTTTGTTTTTAATTTTAAGTGAAATTAAAATCCGTAATTGAATGATATCTTTTCAGCTTGGCAAGAATGCGGCGTAACATCCGTATTAGCTATATTAGGATTATTATGTAAAGAACAAGCCCTAACAGTTCTAGCAGTCTGCTGTATATACGAGATAATGAGTCCCAAGGTAAGTCAGAAATTATTGAAATATACTAAGATTATATTATGTGTAATACGCAATTTACCTATATTTTTTTACCTATAATTTAGCATGCAGTTGTAGATTATAACATACCTGCACTTTGTGCGTGTATTTTCCTTTTTAAAATACTTTTTCTAAATTAAAAGAAAATATGGATTGAGGCTTTTGAAAATAATTATTTACTTCCCGTTTCACGATTCTTGATACGTACATGTCAATATATTTAACTAACATAAAATATTAGATGAAGCAAAAATCTTCCACGTTTCTTTATAGTTATTTGTTCTGGTTTTTTAAAATGTATATAGGAACATCATGGTATTCAAACTTTTTTTTTTTTATTTATAGTACTTTTTTTCAAGAATAAGTATTAAAACGAAGAATTTAAATCGTTATGGTAATAAGGCCGCCTAGATGTACCGCTTGTCGATATGTCGAGGATGGCGTTGATTGAGTTCCTCAAGACGCAATTGGAAAAAATAACATATGTTAGAAATAATGCTGTTTAAATTTTGAAAACAGTATTTGAGAGCTTGCTACACATCTTTGGCATTTGAACCTCAAAGTTCGGGTACTCGTTGAGCTTTTGAAAGAGCCTCCCACTGAGGCTCATAGATTCGATCTCTAGTCGAGTGTCATGTACATTGCAGATGTAGGTCTGAAAATGAAAGTCTTGTGCCAGTGAAGTTTTAAGCTCATTTCGGACCCAGGACGCCCACTCCAAGCGCCCAATGAATAAACCGGCACTGACTTGTGCTGGTCTGAATAAAAGATTATCTGAAAGAGTCATAGAAGTGTGTTCGCTCTGGAAAAGTCGTTTAAGTCACGCCTTCATAGAAAGATACACGACCTTCTATTGGACATAATGGCTATTTGACGAAATCGTCATTCAGCCATTGGTCCGCTGTCACCCCTCACAGGGTGGAATTTATTGTCAGAGGTGGGCGAATTTCACATGAGAATTTTGTTTGTTCCTTACAGTCCTTGATCTCCACAAAGACAAGGGTTGACTTCCCCCACAAATTATGCGTGAGAGTTGTCTTACACTGAAAGATTTCTCTCATAAATCCAAGTTGCCATTGGATCATTAACAGGATGTGTGTTTGGAACTGGGAGTCCTCAGCAATAGCAAACTTTAATTTCGAGTTCTAATGCCATTTAAAATTCGTGTAGAGAGGTTGATGTACGTTAAGTCTTTCGATTCTTGTTCTCACGTTGACATAGTGGTTGTTAAGAAAATGTGTTGATTGCTAATATTGCATCAGCGTCACTTGAGCGTAGTTCAAAATTTTTAGGTTTTGTCGCAAATAGTTTTTGGGATGGTCTTAAGAACGATATTAACATACAATTCAACAGCCAATAAAACTCTTGTCATTATAGATAATTTTAATGGGAAGTCAAATATACCTACCAAAAGATGTGGTTAATAGAAATGAATATTCGTTACAAAAAATTTTCAAATTCGTTAATTCCGAAATTTTCTTACGATGTGATATATATATATATAAACTTCTATATTTCTTTTTCCGCTGGGTTTGAATATATTTGTTGAAAGAATGAATATATAAAAGTAATTTGGAGATGATAAATATCCTAGACACATTACTTTATTAATATATATTTCTTCAGAATTGCATGAACTCGTGTAAAGAATTCCACTTCAGAATAACGTTCTTTTAAAATGAACTTTTATTACATTCAACGTGTCTACATAAACGTTTCCTTGAATTTGAAATATGTTTGCGAGTTAAAAATATAAATAAAATATATCGTTATAAAACAGTAGAAAATACTTTTGTTTTTATTCGTATGAGTTTTTCGCATCAAACTGCCGTTTTTCTATCTGTAAGTGTTTGTAAACATCATTTACAGAATACGGAAGAACTATTTCTTCTTTGTACACTAGTGTTTTACATTCTTCTGAAGAAAGTATATTTCTATTTTTTAAGTCCCTGTATACGTTTCTTTTTAAATAGGATACATTTTCCTATTTTACAACCAGAATTTTTATACATTAAAATGCAAAATGTTTTTGAATTAGGAAATAAAATTTAAAATTGCTCTTATATATGTGTTAAATTTTAATGTAAAGAGTAAACTTGTGTAGTATTTATATATAATTACTACATTTATAAAATGTATATTAAATGTACTCCAAAACAATTTTAAAAAGTACACAATCTCACAGTATTAAACCTTTAAAATCGGTTAAAGTGAACAGGAATAACAGAAAACAAAGACATTTTTCATATATAGCAAAAATACCAATATGAATTTTAAAAAAAAACTATTTCGTTTTTGAGATTCTTCTTAGTAAAAAAAGAAAATCAACTTATTTATATCTATTTTTTTCTTCATCAAATATCACATTTGTCAACAAAACAAATTGTGAAAGTTCTGTATTTCACAAAAACTACACCTAAATTAATAAATATTTAAGATTGAATTTAACGAGGTTAAACTTAACTGATTTCCTAATATTTCGTTAACATCTAATGCTGCAATTAATCCATTTTTAATTACGAAAATAAACACAGCTTTTTATAATTTAATAAACATTAGTTAGAAATTGAGTGTGCATGTTTTTTTTTTTTTTTGAATATTAGTACGATTATAATTTAATTGTGCTCTTCCTAAAGGCATTTCCTTTTCATTTTGAACTTAACATGTGTTTTGAGTGAGAGTGATTGTACAAATTAAAACTCATCTTTCAGACCAATGTATACTGCATTACATTAAATATGTTCCAAATGAGTACCTTGGTGGAAAAAGAAAAGAATCAGGCTAGGTACCATTCAATTACAAAGTCCATCTCTAAATGTATTTGTGCTATTTTAAATGCGTAGTTATTTCAAACCAAACAAATGATCAAGCCATATATATACAGTTGGACCTCTATATAACGAAGTCGCTAAATTCCGGAAAAAATTTCGTTAAAAGAGGTTCATCTTTGAATATACTTTATAAACCATATAAAATAAATTTTAAATTCACGGACACTATATATTAAAAAAAGTAATTATTCACACAGTTTTTTTAAATTAATATATGTTTATTTTATATATCTTATATATCAAAAAAGAAAAAAAGAAAAACTGCAAGGACAAGAAAAAAGAACGTAGAAGAATTCACTGTATTTTCAATATTAGGAAAATAATTTTGTGTGTGTGTGTACTAAAATTAATAAATTTTAAGGACATTTAATAATTTAAAGCATACAAGTAATATTAAACATACATTATTTCATAATTAGAACACGAGAACACGGTACAACTCCACTGAGGGTGTAAGAAGATACTGAAGCTGTTTCTAGTGAATTGGGCAATGGGGGTTAAAGGTTGCACTTCTTGGATGAAACGTCCAGAACTCTATTGCTCTCGGTGAGTTAGAATCTAATAAAACCAGTTCAAGATTTATGGCCACCATAAAATGTGTTAAAGAGGGAAGAACTTGATTTTTTTTCAGAAATACTTTTTAAAAAAGGGCAGAACAAAAATTGAATCACAAAAGAAAAAGCTCATTGTATAGAAAAATTCGCAATATAGAGGCTCGTTATATAGAAGTTCGACTGTATATATATTTCTTGTAAGGGGACTTAGCACTTTTGTTTTTTCAAAAAGTCGATATTTGAAATTTATCTTTAAAAAATCATTCGGATATCATTTTAAAATAAATCACTTTAAAATCCAACAATTTTTACGCTTTGTGCAACAAGAAATTTGAATGTCAAGTGGTAAACTTGTTCTTTAAATGCAATGTAAACAAAAAAGTGTGTGTACTTATGTACGCACTTAGAAATTATACTTCTTTGGCGTAACAAGATTAAAATCTTTCTAAAAATCTTTAGCAGGGCAAGCTGGACCAAGGACGAAAGGCGGTCGTGAGCAGAGTTGAACGATACTAACCTTCAATCAATCGGACCACCCAAACCTGAGAAGATAATCACGATTTAAATAAATTTAAACACTCCTGCAATGGAACAATAGGACCAATAATATGGGAAGGGGGTCGAAGTTCGGGAATGATCTGTCCCATTCTGCATATTTCTAGACAAAGCATTTTCGTACCCGTTCCTAGGGAATGCAAAGCAAAGATTCGTTGACGTGGGGGTATAGCTCAGTGGTAGAGCATTCGACTACGAATCGAGAGGTCCCGGTTCAAACTCGGATGCTTCCTTCTTCAGGGAAATGAAGAGAAATATTTTTCTAAGAATTTCGAAGGCGGGAATGATTTGTCCCGTTCTGTATATTTCTTGACAAAGGATTTTCACATTCGTGACGGGGTGCGCGCGCATTGTAAAAATTTACCCTCATCCTATTTCTCTAACGCCCCAGTAGAAGTATAACTTCAAAAAACACGAAATGATTTCTAGAGCTACAAAGTATTGCACCATATAATGTGGAAACAGTTGAGTGACTTGGCTCAAAAGCACATGGGGGCAAGACTTCGTAAATCAAAACTTCTAAATTGTGTGAAGTATAACTGCAATGGTACAAATCGGGAAAAAAATCTAAGAGATAAATTGAGAGATAGATTTATAACCTACTATGAGAATGCCAAACGACTGAATAACTGTCAAATAGGTGATACGAGTAATACCTTATGGGCTATTTATTTATTGTCATTATCGTTTAGCAGATGAATAACGGATGCATCACTTCTGCCCTGTTACGTTTGTTCGCGGTGTGATTACCAGAGGGCAAAATCCACTGGAAAGCTTTATGCAAGCATAAAATTGCTTTGCCTATTATTGTTATGGAAGCAATAATACTTATATTTGCTGAGATATCTTCTCCTCAATTACTGAAAAAGAAAGTGTGTACATAGAAAGACTCTGAATTCAAATGTCTTTCAATTCTACGGTTTGTAGTACATCTAACAGGATCTTCTGAAACTTACATGATATAGATATGAGGCAACAGTGATATATAATGATTGATGGTTTCTTCTAAATATTATGAACTGTCTAGGGCATTTTTCTGTCGTTAATTCTTCTCAAACTTACAATGCACGGATAAAAAGCAGAAATGGAGTCTAGATTTTTAACGCAAGCTGTAATCAAGGCTAAAAAATGCAATAAATAAAAGGATCTGCGTGAATATTTTATATAAATGAATCAGGTACATTTTAATGGGTAAAAATAATTCTATTATGATCAAATTTGAAAGTCAACACGATTTTCCTCAGTTTTAAATCTTCGCAGCTTTTCACGAGATTAAAAACAAAGTTTTGTACAGATTCTATTCTTCTTTTTCTGAAAATAAAGTTTTTGAATTAAAAAAAAAATGTTCTTTTTATCCAGTAGCAATATAAAAGAAACTTTATATGATCTATTCTTTAGCTTTTATTTCAATTTCTATTATTCAAAAATAAGTTATTAATAATTCTCCTAATCACTTTTCACAATAACAACACTTAAGCATCAACCGTACAAAATTTTGAATAGTTCATTAAAAACTAGAGCTATTTCACTATTTTCCCTCCAAGGGTTCCCTTAAGGTATCCGACTACGTTCGGAACCGTGATTTTAAAAAGGCACATGAATGGATAATTTTCATGATATTTAGTGTCACTTTGATTAGAGTACATGTATAAAATTGTCTTAAGGACATTTTGACAAAAAAAATTTATTTAAATACAATAGTTCGGCAAAAAATTAATCTAGAATAAACTTTTTCAAAATGTTCTCTTTTTGTGAAAAATGCTTCTATTATAATAACATTTTGCATGTATATAGTTCAGACCTCTGTACAGAGGCTCAACTATGACTTTTGAAAAATTCACATTATTTTCAGAGTTACAACCATTTAAAATAGTTATCGGCGTTTTTTCTTAAACTTTCTCCCCTCTGTTGTCGCAAAACATGGATAAACCCACTTATAAATTATATATTTCAAAAATTCTAGTTGAGCCTCTGTACAGAGGTCTGCGCTATATACAGGCAAAATATTGTTATAATAGAAGCATTTTTCACAAAAGGAGAATATTTTGAAAAAGGGTCATTCTATGTTCATTTTTTGTCAAAATATTGTACTTAGAAATTTTTTTATTGTAATACTATTCTTAAAACAATTTTATATACATTTTCTAATCTAAGTGACACTAAATATCGTAAATATTATCCATTTATACGCTTTACAAAATTACGGTTCCGAACGTAGTCGGATACCTTAAAAGACGTATTAGTCAACGTCTTTTTTTTACTTTTTGAAATGTAAGCGAATTCTCTAAGAAGTACAATACATACATAAGCAACGTATATAAAATTGGAAATATTTTTAATGTAACAACTTGTATATATATATTAGTCTAAATATGTTTAAAATAATTTTCTTAAATATTATTTAAATACATATTTATACGATCTACTAAACGAAGCTAATCTCGCCTTTTCTGAGAATTTTATTCCATTTTTTGAATATTTTCCATCTCCTTTTTTAAAAAAAATTCTGGAACACATTCCTTGCTAAAAAAAGAATTCAACTCTAGAAATCGAAACAGTTCGCGTGAGTTACTACTCCTGTTCCAGAAAATGGGAAACTGAGCTGTTACTCGGCAAATGCTGACGAACCACATACAGCCACATTTTCTTGTAGTTGAAATTCTTTTCCTTCTTGATCCTAACTTTCCTCTCTTTATATATTTCTTTGAATTCTTCTTTTTTCTCCAGTTTCCTTCTTTTTCCCCTCTTTTTCTGCGTGCCGTAGCTAATTACTGGAAGCTCTAGGCGCAGGACTCTAGTTCTTAATTGAACGATTTTTTTAATAGTCATGGTTACTTTTTTCCATTCTTTTTCTAGAAAAGAGGACCACGACTCCAATTTGCTAGGAACGAGAAAAAGGGAAAGATCGGGTGTGCTTTTCTTTTAATTTATCTCTATTTTTTCTATCTTTTTATTTCCAGTCTCATGCGAGAATTTTTCAGTTTATATATTTCATTTTGCTTTCGGAAGGGAATGTTTTTCAGAAAGCTACGACTGTGTACTTTTTTAAATTTTTTTTTAAGATTCTTTGCTTTTTTGTAATTTTCTCTTTGTCTTTTATCGTGTTTTTCTTTAATTGTCTAGATTAGGTGCAAGTGACAAATATATTTTTTATGTGTGTGTTTTAGTTGTGCTTAAGATATGTAGTTAACTAAAAATTGGAGGGTTATTAAATTGTGTGCCCTCACTCATAATATAATGCTATTTTCTAATTAGAAATAGTAAATAAATTATTCCATTACTATGTGTCTTGTACCTCATACTTTTGCTTTGTGCCTTTTACCTTGCACTAGTTATCTTAACTTGTTCAATCAATGTTTAACTTAACTCAACGGTTCCTTACTCTGGAGAGGGCGCGCGGGGCACAGAGTCACCCCAGGATCACAAACTCTTTAATTCTGGGAAAACTGTTTATTTTTTTGAATGACCTTATCTGTATCCTCCTTTATGACAGTCTTCATGTAAACTAAGATGTATATTTGTCACATATTTCCTCTTTTTTGGAAACGGCAACCATTTTCTTACAATCTCAAGGTACTTGTGGTGACTGAGTTTCACGCTCGACCACTTTTGATTCAAAATATTTTCTATGAATATGCTACGTTTTCGCCCAGTGAACGCCTTAGTGGTTTTGATTGCTGAGTTGTGCGACTTATTATGGTTTATAAATGTAAATGAGCGTAAAATACGAAGAAAAAAAAAGGAAGAAAGAAATGAAAAGAAAAAAGAAATGAGCATCTCTATCTCTCCCTCTTTTACGAACTGAAAGGCTTCGTGGAAAAATTGAAATATGTGCTATCCTACACTAGATCACTAAATTTCCCTCAATGACCAATCATTTAGCCATGTGTTAGGAATCAGGGAGGGGTGTTCAAAATCCTTGGGGTCCACGATGTCAGGCTGATACATAAAAGGGGCCGCGTGGCGATCGAAAATTTAAGAACAGCTGAAAGTTTTAACTGATCTCTCAGCTGAGGAAGCGATTCAAAGGCGGTCTTGTTCAAAAACATTTTCTTTTACTTTTCAAAATTCTGCATTTTCATTGTTCTAAAAACGATAAATGCTGGTTTGTCGTCTTTGTTTCGGTGGTTCAGTATATCGGTGTGTATCAGTGTATTTATTCCTTGTTTCGGTGGTTCAGCGAAATATAATGCAAATTATCAATTCGAAATATAAACTAAACATTTTAATTAAAATTGGGACATAGCAAACAAGTCACAGGTAAAAGGTCTGTAGAAATATGATGCATTTTTTTGTCTTACTTATGCAATTTATGTCTACAGGATTGTGTAGTTGGATGGTAATAAGATGTAAATGATTCGTTATTGTAAAATAAGATGACAAACTTAAGGATCCGACTACGTTCGGAAACGTGATTTTGCAAAAGAATACATGCGAATATATATATTTTAATATTTGGTGTTGCTTAGTTTGGAATACACATATAGAATTGTTTTAAGAATATTATTACAACAAAAAGTTATTTAAATGCAATATTTTGGCGAAAAATGAACTTAAATTACCTGTTTACAAAACATTATAAATCTAAAAATGCTTCTATAATGAAAATATTTTGCTTATATATAGCTAAAACTTCCCCAGAGAGCCTGAACTAGAATTTTTGAAAATTCACTTTATTTTCAGAGTTACTACCAATTTAAATAATTAAACTCAAAAACTCAAACTCAGGGGCGCAACAGCCCATGAGGGCCAGGGCCTACTGTGCCCATCCCAGTATACGTGACCAATGGGCACTAAAGTGCATGAACAGATGTCCGATCAGGTGGTCAGCCTGAAGCGAGACCCCGGTGTTTAAATCTGCAAGCAAGATTGGTACTCATTTATCGACCCACTGCAGTAGGGATGAAAGACTGAGTCGACCTTGTATTTTTCCTCTCTAATGTATTAAAATATGGATAAATCCATTTTATTCACATATTTCAAAAATCCTAGTTCAGCCTCTGCACAAAGGTCTCAGCTATATATGAACAAAATATTATTATTATAAAAGTATTTTCCATAAAAGAACAATGTTTGAAAAATAAATAATTCTAAGTTCTCCTTTTTGGACAAAATGTTACATTTAAAAAATTTTCATTGTAATAATATTCTTGAAACAATTATATGGGTATTTTCTAATCTAAGGAACATTAAATATTAAAAGAAAAAAAACATTCGTTTGTACGCTTTTGCA